TGTCTCTGCCCCAGGGTTTTTATAGAGACGCCAAGGGGTGGAGCAAAAGACCTCCTCCCCCAGCACAGCCAAGTGCAGACCATCTCAGACACCTGCACTCAGGCCCGTGGTCCTAATTATCCTCTATGCGGACCTGCTGGGTAAAGCCACGAGGAACCCGAGAATGGGCTCCCACAGTCATTTTCTTCTGGATCATCTGCATTGGGATGTTCAGGTCTTGCTGTTGCAGGATCACTAGGTTCTGGTGGTGTGGTATTGTTCTTTACATTGTTGAATATGTTCTTACACTGCCATCTACCCATTTCTTTAATCTGTACAGGTGGAGCTCTGGGTTGCTCTTCCTATAGGTGCAGGTGTTGCCTGTGGCTCCAGTGGTCACTCTTCTTCCCAATCAGTGCAGGAGGAGCAGGAGGGTTGTTTGGCTCCAGTGGTAACTGGTGCTGCAGAGGATGGTTGTCCAGGGGCTGGCGAAGGAGGTTGCTGCAAGGTCTCTGGGGCTGCAATGGCTGGGGGTGAGGGGCACAGAATGTGTCCCCAGGGCTCAGGGACTAGAGAACTGGGCGGTCCAGTTGGGAGATCAGGGCCTTACTTCTTCCCTATCAGTGCAGGGAGTGGAAGGGGGTAGGGTTCCAGTGGTCTCTGGTGCTGCAGAGGATGGTTGTCAAAGGGGTGGGTGTGGGGAGGTTGCTGCCAAGTCTCTGAGGCTGCAGATGGCTGGGAGGGGTGGGCAGGGAGAGGAGCACAGAGTGTGCCCTGGGGCCAGAGAACTGGGTTGTCTAGTCCGAAGATCAGAGCCTTATCTCGCTTAAGGCTCTGGTGTTTGCTGGTGCCACAGGGGATGGTTGTCGAGGGGGTGAGGATTGAACTTATTTTTGTTATTTTAATTATTTTTACTGTTTTTTTTTATTTTTTAAGCTCATGCCATGTGTCAGACACTTTTAAAAATGCTATGAATTAGCTCATATAATCTTCATAACAATTCACTGGGAAAGATGTTAATCACCCCCACTCTTCCCTAAGGAAACTAAGTTTGGAAATGTAAGTAGCAATAGTTTGTATCCTGCAGTCCCAGCATGTGGTGGAGGTGGAGGAAAATGAATCAGGAGTTTAGGGCCAGCCTAGGCAAAATAGTGAGTTTGAAGTCAGACTGGGCTACATGAGACACTATCTAAAACAATGAAACAAAGCCAGGAAGAGGAGGAGGAAGACGTTTAAGTAGCACGCTCAAGTTCACACAGGTAGTCAGCAGCACAGATGGCCTGTGTGAGTCTCAAGCCTGGCTGTTGATCACTTTTCCTCTGCAGATGGCCTGGGTGAGAACCCAGGTCACAAAGTGGTTCAGATGGCCAGAAAGAGCAGTTTTGATCTTGTCCCTTCTCCAGCCTTGCTGGCTGCAGTAGACCCTGACTTTTTCTGCATGTGAAGATGAGAGGGCGAAGCGCACCAAGCAACTGCTGGGTGTCCCATGGAGTATGCTGTGCTTAATGTGGTTTGTTTTTGTTTTATGTGTATGCGTGTTTTGTCTATATGCATGTCTATAGACCATATGTGTTCAGTACTCCAGGAGGCTAGAAGAGGTCATGGGATCCCCTGGGACTGAAATTATGTATGGTTGGGAGCCTCAATATGGGTGCTAAAAACTGAACCCAAGTTCTCTGCAAGAACAGCAAGTGCTCTTAACTGCTGAGGTATGTATCTGGTCCCCAAATAATGTACTTTTAATTATTACTATTACTAGTTAAAATCCTTAATATTATTATTATCCTGAATTTATAGGCAAGAATATCAAAATTCTGAGGCTCCAGTCACCTGCTCAAGGTCACACCACTAGTAAGCTATGGAGAAGAGATTCAAATCCAGGTTAGGGGACCTTCAGAGACTTAAATTCAACTACTACAACGTTCCTCCCCATGATTCTCATGTCAGAATTGCCCTACAGGAGTCCTTCACATTTTTATTTATTTGTTTATTTATTTTTTTGGTTTTTCGAGACAGGGTTTCTCTGTGTAGCTTTAGAGCCTGTCCTGGAACTCACTCTGTAGCCCAGGCTGGCCTCGAACTCACAGAGATCCGCCTGCCTCTGCCTCCCGAGTGCTGGGATTAAAGGTTTGTCCTTCACATTTTTATAACAACTTCTGGAGACTGTTATGATCACCTTGGACAGTCAAATACACATTCTAAAATGAGTATTTATGGTGCCTAGGAAAGTCAAACACACAACTTGAAAACAAGCTATATGTGACTTCCTAAAGAATTGCCTAAAGCCCAGGGGATTACAGACTCCAAGCAACACACTCTGCTCCTGAATTCTGCTCAGCTGGTCTCACCTCCTAAGCAGTGGCATTGCCTCCTGGCTCTCTCCTGCTGCACTTCCTCTCCTACTTCTACAATTCTGTCTCATGCCCATAGGTGTTATCTTCTGCCAACAAAGATGCTAATTTCTCTATCTGCAGCTGTCCGATTTCAGACTTTGCATGTAAACCTCCAGTAACAGCACCTATGTTTTCCCCCACTTGATAATTAGGAATAAGTATTGTTCTCCATTGCCAACTTAAAGCACAGTGCTCACCCCAAAGGCAGTAAGACGTGGTTCTTTTCTGAGTCAAACATGAGTGAGGACAGCCTGGGAACACAGATTCAGGTTGACCTGGAAGGATGTAGTCACGTGGCTTTTTATAGTCATGGAACAAAAGAATGTCATAAATCAATGCATTTGACAAATGCATCATGGAGACAACAGGTAAGTGGGTTAAAACAAAATGAGGAAATCTCAGCAATAGGTTTTAGATGTTCTCTTATGCCTTTCTTAGCTCCTGAGGTGGTAGAAGCTAGTGGTCTGCTAAGAAGACATTCCAACTAGTTCTTCTGTGGCAGAGCATCAACTGTGCTTCAGAACTTTACCTGAAGCTCTTTCTCTCATTCTTGTTGCTGCTGTACATCTTCTTTTAGACACTCTAGCCTCTGAGGAATGGCAGAGTCTTCATGTTTCCTGAGTTCTTCAAAAGTGCAAAGTTTCAAGAGAGCCTGTTCAATTTGGTCCCAAAAGTCATCCAGCTTATTCATGAGCCCCATAGCAGGAGAGTGGTAACTGCCAAACAAAATGTTCATCTTCTTTTCCATCTCTGCAGCTCTCTTGGCTTCTGTTGTCACGTGACCCCTGTTTATCTCAAGTCTCTTTTCAAGTGATCCAATTCTGGCCTTTTTGCTAACTTTTTGCCCTTGTGTAGCAGCTCTGAACAGGAAGATACAGCACTTGACTGTGGCATTCTTTCCACACCTGGTTGTAAGCTTCACTGGAGAATTCTCCAAGGTTCATTCCTTGTTTTACCATGTCCATCTCTTGCATGAGAACATCCTGGGCCTTTTTCAGTTTCTTTGGAGAACTTCTCATAAGGGATATGCTCAAGATAGGTAATGTAATTTGTTGGTACCAATCCAACAGTTTTTCCCCTTTTTATTTCCAGACGGCTCATAGGGGTGATGTAGGTCATAATGAAGCATAGTCATCAATTCTTTTTTGATCAATTCTTCACTTCTCTGTAAATCTTTTAGAGGTAGTTTATATTTACAGGTCTTAAAACAGTTTCCTTTACTTCACACGCTCGTGGTATATCCTTCTGAACAGCTTTGTGCATTTGTTTCATTTCCTTTACATGCTCAGCTTCTCATATGGCCTGCTTTCCAGCATCCACATCAGCAGTATCTTCAATGTAGGAATCATCTATTTCATGCTCTTCCAGCTCCTTCTCAGCATTTTCTGGTAGAACCATTTGAAAATCTTTCTTAGGAGCAGGGAGGCCCACCAACCCTACTTGGAGATGTTCACAAGATTCTCTTTCCATGTGCTTCACATAAGAGGACTCACTATAGTCTACCATTCCATCCTCTGGACTAATGTTTAACTAGTGTCTAAATGGTGTTCTACCTAGGGTGGCATTAGTGATTGGTTTGGGTTTTGATCCACTTTGGGGAATCAGCACTTCAGCTCCATTTGGAGGAGTCCTGAAAGGGGGAGAAAGAAGCCTATGTGTGTGGTTGATATATTGTGCACCCCAATAAACTTATTTGGGGTCAGAGAACAGAACAGCCACTATATTAAACATAGAGGTTAGGCAGTGGCAGCACATACCTTTAATCCTAGCATTCCAGAGGCAGAGATCCATCTGGATCTCTGTGAGTTCAAGGTCACACTGGAAACAGCCAGGCATGGTGACACAAACCTTTAATCCCAGCACTTGAGATCTTATGTCTTGCTTGGTAAAGACACACACCTTTAATCCCACGAAGTGATGGCAGGAAGCAGAAAGGTATATAAGGCCTGAGGACCAGGAACTAGAAGCTTTTAAGCTTTTAGTAGCAGTTCAGCTGAGATTGATTCGGATGAGGACTCAGAGGCTTCCAGTTTGAGGAAACAGGATCAGCTGAGAAGTTGTCGAGGTGAGGTTAGCTGTGACTTGTTCTGCTTCTCTGTTCTATCAGCATTCACCCTAATACCTGGCTCCTGAGTTTTTTATTAATAAGACCCTTTAAGATGCATGTCACACATGTGGAGTCTGCACACCCTGCCGCTGTGGGGTCATACCAGAGAAGACACTCTCATGCAGTGGGGTAGTAAGCCCATGTTTCAGTGGAATGTCCACATTGGTCAAGGCCATGAGGTTCTGAGACTCCTGCAGAACCTGTCTTGGGAAGCCAGTGTCAGCGGTGTTCTCAGAGCGAAGTCATTGTTTATGACATTGTACTCAGACAGGATAGTGCTGGAAGTAGAGTTTGTTATTCCAGACTCCTCTGCAGTCTGCTGAGCAACTTCACTGGCCTGGCCTACCTTGACAACTTCCTAGAGTTCTGTATCTGAAATCTGAGGGGCAGGCAGCGCTAGTTTCTCTTTTTAGGAAACGCAGAGATCCCAAGAGTTTGAAGAATAGCTAATCGCAAATCAGATTCTTTTTTCCTTTTTAAATCCTGTTTCTCTTTTCTTATGTCTCTTCCTTCTATTTCAGATCTTACTCCCCATCAAGATCCTGCTGTCATCATTTCCTGAAGTCTGCATCAAGGGCCTGGTAATTCTCCTCAGAAGTATCATAAAAACCAAGAGCAGGCTTCTGTGCAAATGGGATTTCGGCATTATAATCAACTCCTCCTCTTTTTCCTTTTGCTCAAAGCTCTCGTCTCTTCTGAAGGGCAGCAAAGCTTTCTCTCAGCTGTTTGTCACTTGCTTTCCTCTCAGCCTTCTTTCTTTGAGTACTGGCCAGCTGCCCCAGAGAGCATCTCATGTTCATCCTCATCCATATAAACTGGATTTGGCCGAGCTGGTTTTGTTTCTGGATTTGGATATCTCCTCAGGTTTGAGTTTTGGTAGTTATCTGTTGTTTCCTCTTCATTGTGCCTTTGGGCACATTTGTACAGGAGGAATTCATAGTGTTCCAAGCACCAGGCTGCTGTTCTTCCAATGATTGGAGGGATGGTACTCCACAGCGTTGGCATCAGCTTGGCCAAGTACAAGAGTTTTTCCTTCTCTTCTCTAGACCATTCAGTTTTTTTAATACTTGGCTCCAGCCATTCATAACATCTGGCTTTGTAATGCTTTGCTGATTTCCTATGCAGCAATGAGGCAATCATAGAACACTAGTTTTCCCCATATTTCACTAAACTGCATTCATCCTTGGTGTTTCTCGACACACACCCTTTGATCATAAACTGAGGCATCTTTGTGTCTGAGTGTCCTGGCAGGTGCTAAGAAGAAAAAAAAAAAAAAAACACTGGGATCTTAGAATTCAGTTAATGGAACATTTATGTAGCAGGTAGGAGGCCCTGAGTTCACTCTATAGCACCACATAAAATGCAGTTAAACAAATAACCAGCCATATCTGTAATGATTGCTTCTTCCTCTTTATGAGGACCACTTCAGATGAGACAGGATTTAAAGGGACATTAGAGAAACTTCTAACTCAAAGCTTAGAGGTGAAGATTAAAGTCCTTTAGCAAAGTCTAATGTGCTAATATCAGCATCAAACCTTCCTTAATTTATCTCTAATTTATGGTTGCTCATCTTTCATTTGTCAAAAGTGTTTCTTTCAGAAGTGAAGCCTCTTGGGGCCCAGAGAGATGGGTTAGCAGTTAAAACACTTGCTGCTCTTTCAGAGGACAGCAATTTGGGTCCAGAACCCATATTGCATAGACAACAACAACAACCTGTAATTCTAGTTCAGATCAATGGTGTGACATCCTCTTCTGCTGGCATTTGTGGACACCTTTAGACACATGTACATACAGAGAGAGAGAGAGAGAGAGAGAGAGAGAGAGAGAGAGAGAGAGAGAGAGAGAGACTTTTTGATAACCCATGTGGAAAGGACAAAATACTCTCTGTCCTGACAGAGGCACGAGTCACAGCCAACAAAATCCCTTGCAAGCATACATAACTGAGTCCTGTAGGTCTTTACAATAGTAAAACCTGTATTCTCACAATGAATTTTATCTGAACCAGTAAAAATTTGTGTCTTTATAAAGCTGTAAGACAGTAGTAGAAAATTTCATGTAATATAGAGAAAGCTATCCTTGGTTTGGTTTCATTTCTGAGGCTGAGTCTCACTTCCCAGCCTAGGCTGATTTTGAACTCAGGGATAAAGGTTCCATCTCTGCCTCCCAAATGCTAGAAATACAGTCATCAGCCACCACCACACCTAGCTTGAGAAAGAGGCATTCTTCCTAACACAACATATATCAAATTATTTCAGTTTGGGGATATAATCTAAAAGTGAGTAATTTCCTTCTTAAAGAAGCTTGTTTGTGCAAATCTTCACATCCTCCCAGCCAGATAGGCTCTAATGCACATTAGACCATTTAGAAAGTGCATGAAAACCTTTAAAGCTCTTGGGTCACATGTTTGCAAGTTCATTTCCTGATACCAAGCCTCACTTTTTAGCCTAAAGCTGTAGGAACAGCTTTGCTCACATTACTCATATGAACATTTTGATTTTAGGCTAAAAAGAAAGTACCCACAGACATAAGCACTTCTCAAAATATAACAGCACACTGACATTCTAGGCACAAGTTTCTGAAAGACAGATAGCTAATGACGTTATACTTCTGCTGTGTCTTGCTCTTCATTTAAGGCAAATCTCAATCTGAAGACAACTCAACCTGTTGAACCCAGACTTTAATATCCAACAGCCTCAGAGGCAGGAGCAGTTGACTGGGATTGGTAGAATTAAACCAGAATTATATAAGCAGAGGTCACTGGTCAGAAATGACAAGAGTAACAGCAAAGCCTGTGGGAAACTGAACTTCATTTTAAACTATGACTGCACTTGAAACAGTTCATCCTGAGGATACAGAGATGTCAATTTGTCAGCCAAGGACTTCTCTGGGGCTTCAGATCCTTATGTCAAGATCAACTTGCTTACTAACAGGACAACAAAACTGTTAAGTTTTGAATCCCCCCCGTCATTGGTTTTTCTGTTGCTGCTGATGTAATAAGCCAATCAAGCTAAATTAATAAATCCAGGTTTAATAAACAGAGCAAGAAATCCTAGGTGACCCTTGGGATGGCAGGCTAGGAATCACATGGCAAATAAGGCTACCGGGTCCTGAGCAGCCCAGGGGGGCTTTCTGGAGGGATGGACTGTTGCTTGGTAAGCTTTTTGAAAGGGGTAGGATCTGGGGAGAGAGAGGTGGGGGTTTCACCTAATCATCCCAGACTCTTTGGGTATATAGATGCCAGGGGCTGAGGTAGAGCTTCCACCAGAACAGAAGCACCAGACTAAAGTTCACAGGAAGACAGTGAACCCTGTATTTAATAAGGTGTCTTTTCTTATTTTATCACTACAAATTTTATTCAAAAACTCATCTTTTTTGTTTTTTTTTTTTTTTTTTAAAGTTCCAATATGAACTGGCTTGTCAACCAACTACAACACTGTCTAGCAGACACATGGTATAAACAGCTGGGCTCAGAATCTCCAATCTCTCTTGAGGTATCTGGACTGCCTCCTGTCATGCTCTCGTCCTCCACCTCCTCTGCTGCCACCATGCCTAATGTCTCTGAATGGAGAATGCCTTTCCCGGGATCGGGACCTGGATCTATGCTTCTTGTACTGGCGCCGAGACAGCTTCCTTTTGAGCTCTCTTGAGATTGGCTTCAGATGCATGAAGTTGCAGAAGCCTATTCTTGTGCACTCCCCCATCTCATACTGGCGGCAGCAGGCTTCCCTGAAGTCAGTCACTGAGGACAGCTCTGAACAGATTGGCTTCCCATTAAACCAGCGATTATTCAAGTCCATCACAGCTTTCTCTGCATCCTCCTCATAACGAAACTTGACATACACATTCCCAACCAGGTGGTCTCCTAGGTTGTCACAGACATTCATCTCTTCAACCTGTCCATACTTTTCTTCCATCTCAGTGAAGACTTCCTCAAAGAACTCATCATAGTGCTCCTGCACCTCCCAGTCACTCATAGCACAGCGCAAACCACCAGCAGACTGGGCAGAGTTTTGAGGGTTATGGTAAATGTTCAAGAGGGCAATGGTCTGGCTAAAGGTTGGTTTATTGTGCAATGTAGAACATCTGTCTTCATGACGACATGCTCCAGTTTTGAAATAAAATGAACAGTTGACTCTGTAAGGAAATAAGAGTAATAAGAACTGATTATTTCTGGGAAGATATGGCAGACACATCATTAACACGATCCTATTTCCCAGCTACTTGTCTTCCAATCACAGAAATTCAGCAGCTCTTGATGACTGTGTTTCCTCTTGCAGGCAGTACGTTAGAGGTCGTAACTCCAGCTCCCTACAGAAGTGTTCTAATTGTAACCTGCTTCCTGCTATTCTAAACCTCTTCTCCTTTTAATATTTTCTTTGTTTTTTTTAAGATTGTCATATTCTCAGAGTCCTGGATAACAACCATAAAATAAAGACAATGCCAACAAGGCACTATTCAAAAAACTTAGATGTGTATTCTTATTCACAGGCCTAAGTGTGGTGATATATAGTGTACTCTAATAAACTTGCCTGAGGATCAGAGCACAGAACAAACAACTAGTTTAGAAATAGAGGTCAGGCAGAGGTGGTATACACCCTTAATCCTTTCACTCAGGAGGCAGAGATTGTCTGGATCTCTGTGAGTTCAAGACCACACTGGAAACAGAGCCAGGCACTGGTGGAACACATCTTTAATCCCAGTACTGGGAAGCACACACATCTCTAATCCCAGGTAGTGATGTCTGGGCAGAGAAAGGTAATATAAGGCTAGAGGAAACAGGAACTCACACTCTTCAGGATGAGTATTTCATGGAGGTAAGAACTAGTTGCTGGCTGCTCTGCTTCTCTGATCTTTCAGCTTTCACCCTGATATCTGCCTCTGGGTTTTTTTTGTTGTTGTTGTTGTTGTTTTTACTAAAAGACCATCTAAGATTCCACCTAAGCACTATCGTTATCTAAAGAAAACAGAAAACAAAGTTCAGGTTCTCTCTGGTCTGAAGCTAGTAGATCTCTTGGAAACCTCATTGCAAACATACTATTTGGAGACCCAGCTTGCCTTAGAAACCACACAGCAGTACATGTCTGCCACAGAGCCTCTTTAGTAGTGCTCATATACTCCATGGAACCACAACCATCCAAGACCTTCAGGTGCTGGGTGGTCTGTAAGATCTGTGATATGAACTGTTACCTGAGGCAGCTTCCCTATTCAGTTGTCAGCTGCAGAGGGGGGAATGCTGTCCCACAGACACTTTTAGCAAGAGCCACATGCTTAGGTCCTCACCCTGAGGTAAAGACTGAAGGTCTCAATCTCAGTGAAATCTGGTGGACCATGAAGACCAGTTATCCTCTAGCTATTATGAGATAGGAACAAATACAGTAAAGTCTGAGTTTATCAGGAAAGGAAAATGATTGCCATCAAGCTACATTCCTTACTTCATGCAACCTAACTGGATTAGACAATATCTCTTTAGAAAATCAACTGAAAATAAAGAGCTTGTTGGACAAACCTCTGGATGAAAATACACAAGGGTTCCACATGAAACTTCTCAATCCGACACTCCCTGCAAACACTTTTGCTTCAGTCAATAAATTATCTGAAGTAATGAAATAAAAACTACAAGGAAGCTGGGTGGGTGGGTGGTGGTGGTGTACACCTTTAATCCCAGCACTCAGGAGGGAGAGGCAGGCAGATCTCTGAGTTTGAGGCCAGCCTGGGCTACAAATTGGGTTCCAGGACAACCAGGACTACACAGAGAAAACCTGTCTTGGAGGGTGGAGAGTACAAGGGAAAAGGGTGATTTCCACCAGACAAGCTGAATCTAAAAACATCCTAACTTATAATATCACAGCTAAATATTTTATTGGAAAAGACCCACATTTTATTTCTTAAGAGATCCAAAAGTTATGAGGCATCCCATGTTCCCCTTTCTGATGACTGTTTCAGCTGAAATAACGTAAGTAACCTAGATTTACCAAAAAAATAACTAAAATAAAATAAAAAAAAAATCTGAATTCCTTGCTGAGATACTCCTTCGCTACACAGATATGAACACAGGGCCAGAACTACTAACTCCTGGTTCTTTAAGTCCCAGCCTTTAGGCATTTATAATGGAAGCCTCTCATGTCAGAACTGGCATGTACATTTGACGACATTCCAGGCCATCTTCTCTGTGACCTCAGAATTTAGGAAATGCACTCTTCCACAGCACAAAACAAATTTGCAAATATTTATTGAGACAGAGTCTCTATGTAGTTCTGGCTGTCCTATAACCCACTATCTAGACCAGACTGGCCTCAAATTCACAGAAATCTCTGTCTCTACCTCCAGAGTGCTGAGACCAAAGGCATGTACCACTATACCTTGCTTTGAATGTTTATTTTAAAGTACTTTAAAGGTTTTATTTTAAATTATGTATTTGTGGCTGGGAAGTGGTGGCACACGCCTTCAATCCCAGCACTCAGGAAACAGAGGAAGGCGGATCTCTGGTTTCAAGGTCAGCCTGGTCTACAGAGAGAGTTCCAGAACAGCCAGGGCTGTGAAGAGAAACCCTGTCTCAAAAAACAAAAAGTATATGTGGAGGTGGATGTGCATACCTAAGTGCAGATGCCTGTGGTAGCCAGAGACAAAGGATCTCCACAGATCTGGAGTTACAGGTGGTTCTAGACACGAGTTTGCATTAAGTGGATTTGGGGAACCAAATTCCTGGCCTCTGCAAGAGCAGTTCACACTCTGAACTACTGAGCCAAATCTCTCCTGTCCCTTTACTGTATTTTAGTCATCCTGAACACAGCCCACACAGCTCTCCTCCATGACTACTGAGAACCCAAATTTTATCCCATCTGATTTTCTAAAACTGAACTAGACCCCACACCCAGTAAAATGTCTCTACAGTGACTGCTGATTTGGGCATGAGACTTTTAGAAACATTTCCTCTTTCAAACACAGCAGACTATCTGTATAAAAGTGCCTGATCGGACAGCCTTGGTCCTAGGTAGTAGAATATTTTCAACAGTGAGAATTTGGCACCAAAAATGTTATCTATTGCAAATACAGAGGCTTCCTATCATAGATATCTGTATAAATCTTATACGAGATTCAGGAACACCAAGATGGTGACTACTTACTCAGAGTAGATTAAGCCAGACATTTAATCTTTGGGTTTTCAAAGTAGGAGTTATTCATCAAAGCCTCTCAAGACATTTCTGTCAGCCTAAACTTCAGTCAGCACACTGGAACTTAGTATGTGCCACGGTGGTATACAAATACATGTGATTTAAAGTTATTTTTTTCTCTTACTCTATGCCAACTTCAATTTAAAATGAATAGAACCCCCCCCCCCCCAACCCTTAGGCAGGAATGTTTATTTGGTCGGGATTAGCCCCAGAGACTGAGTTTTAGCAAGGACAGTACCACCGCACTTCTGACCGTACACTCAAAGCCCAAAGTTGTCAGAAATGTTTTACCTCGCTGGCCGCAGAAGTCAGGACATCAGTGGGAGTGCGGCGTGGAGCAGAGTCCCGCGTGGAACCTGGTAAGGAGCCCTATGTAGCTCAAGGCCCACAGGGAGCCGCCAGCCAGGTCCCAAGGCCTGACCCATGAAGCGGGGGGCGCACAGACGCGTTAGGCCGCCAGGGCCTCCCACCCGTTGCCATTCACCACCCGGCCCAAGCCCCGGTATGCCGCCCCTACTCACTTGTCTTTCTCGGTGCCAAAGATGGAAGCCAAGTATTCAGCCATTTTCCAGCAGACACCTGCAACACAGCACCCCGAGCTCCAACTACTCTGATATCCTCTGAAGCCATCTCTGGACAAGAAAACGCTGTCCACGCCCATCATGTCGATGCGGTCCAATTGGGAGAGGCGCTCCTCTGTGGGGGCGGGATGAAGAACTCGCGGAGGCTCCGCCCTCCGGCACTGAAGCTAGTACACTCCTGAGGCCTTGGAGGTTCCCATGCGTTGCATGCTGCATGGGTTGCTCCAGGCATGCTCAGAGCTCTGGTTTCTCAGCTCCTGCTCTGGGACCTCGCCTTCGCCCCTTGCTCATCCTCAGGCTCCAGGCCTCCTGCTATAGACAAGGACCCCTACTCGGCCTCCTGGAGGGATTTAAACCTATAGCATCCCCACAGTTACCAGCTCACCTTCAAGTTAACAACTTCCAGGCAGAGCCTAATCCATTGTCTCCAGCTGAGACCCAGGCAGAGGGATTATTTGGTTTGATGAATTCAGCTGCTTTCTCTGGCTATAGAGCCTCTTCCACCCGAGGATGAACCATGGAAGAGGGAAGGCTGCTGGGCTGTGGGACTCTTAGGTCTCCATTCAGGCTCTCAGGAATTAACCTGGTTACTAGAACCAGAGGAGGTGTTTTTATTTCCTGTTCCCTAAAATGATCTTCAAACATGGAAGCTTCACTTCTCAGTGTGTGATTTTGACAGGTTCTCTCACCATGACTTGATTGGTCAAGTGGTTTTGAACCACTTTTTTTTTTTTTTTCCCTGAGACAGGGTTTCTCTGTGTAGTTTTGGTGCCTGTCGTGGATCTCTCCCTCTGTAGACCAGGCTGGCCTTGAACTCACAGAGATCTGCCTGCCTCTGCCTCCTGAGTTGCTGGGATTATAGGCGTGTGTCACCACCGCCCGGCCTTAAACCACTTCTTAAACTTCCCTGAATTCCCCCAGGGAGTGCATCCTTCGGAAGGATGTTCTAATTCATTTTGACTCATGGTCAGTTAAGGCAGCTGTGTGTTCTGTTTACCTGGCTCAGCACCTTAAAAATGGGCTCCTTAAAAATGGGCTCCTGGCCGGGCGGTGGTGGTGCCCGCCTTTAATCCCAGCACTCGGGAGGCAGAGCCAGACAGATCTCTGTGAGTTCAAGGCCAGCCTGGGCTACAGAGTGAGTTCCAGGAAAGGCGCAAAGCTACACAGAGAAACCCTGTCTTGAAAAAGAAAAAGAAAAAAAAAAGAAAGAAAGAAAAAGAAAAAAGAAAACTGAAGTTTGGCTTGGTTATTTCTCTCTGTCTTCTTCAGAGTCATCCTTCCCCGTTCCCATGAGACTAACACTATGGTCTTGTCTCATTAAGTACAGCTCTGACGGCTTTCCATCATTCCTTCCCATGTCTTCCTTCTGTTTTAGGCTGTCACCTTTACAGCTGAAGTCACTGCTCAGGTGTGGTCCACACCTATATTAATTCCCTATTCATGGCTTGATTAGCCACACCCACTGTGATCTCAACATGCTTTCTCATTTTCTACCATGTTGAAAGACTAAGAATTTCTCAAATCTAAGCTTCATCCCTAATGGCCATCATTCACAGTGCTGGAAGGTGCTATGCACACTATCAGAGAAGTTTTCACCCATCTCACCCATCTGTGAACCCTATGATCTACAATAACTATCTGCCTGGTAGTCACTGTATACAACAGTGACCCAAATGTTAAGGGAAGAGACAATCATTTTTTTATTTGATTTAAGGAGATGGTGCAGGGGATGAATATAATCGAAATATGTTGCATGAAATTCTCAAAGAATAAAGAAAAGCATCATTTTAAACAAGATGTTTCCCAATCTTTAAGTTCTATTTTCCCTCTGCTTAATAAATTTGTCTTCAAGTGATTTCTATCATCTCTAAATTTTCTCCTAGACTTTAACCAGGAGTTAAACTAGTTAACCTAGACTTTAACCTTCAACACATTACTTAGAAATATCTGGAGCTAAATGTCTCATTGTGTTGTTTGCATATTCTGTCTTCTACAAAACCACTGTACATGAGCACAGTTCAGCCTGGACTTTTACACCATGCAGCAAGGACCATCTAACTCTAACAACTCACTCTTCATGACTAATAACTCATTCTTCGTTACCATCAGAGACATCGAGAGAACGTTCTTTACCTCCATGTGTCTACCAATAATCTGTCCATCGTCACATGTGGATTCAGTAAGGGGATCTTTGAACAGCTCTCTTTTCTTTCTCAGTTCTTGACAGAATCACCCTAACAGTCCATTCATAGATCTTTCCAAGCACCCATGTCAAAACTCTCCAGTATCTACTGTTTCCTCAGCCTTCCTACTTCCAGATATACACCTCAGTCTTAGTCATTGGAGGAGTCATCTGAATCCTATGTTTGGTTCCATGCTCCAACCTCCAGTATCTAGGAGTGCCCTGAATTGGGAATAGTAATACAAGAATTCTCCTGGATAGGAGCTTCTAAAGAGCAAGGATTAATCTTATTTTAAGCTTCGAGTTCAGTTCTTAGTATATTTCAGTTGTGTGAGGGAATCGCCTTCTCTTGTCCTCAGCAATTAAATCCACTAGGCACTGATCAGACTCTCAGTGTGTCTTCATAGTTGGACCACCTCATAAAGTCCTTACTGTTTAACTGGAGTGATCACTTAATGGTGGCAATATTAGATCTGAACATAGAGCACCCTGATCCTGAGACACATTATTTTAAAAAAAAACACAATAATTTATACTTCTTTATCACTAGTCATTTTAATTTTTAAAAAAGAATTTTGGCATGTGTTGTGTTCTGTGTTTATACATAATAGATTCATGTGAGTGTGTGGGTATGTGTATATGTAGAAGCTAGAGCAGGGTATCTAGTGTCTGTCTGTCTTTTATCGCCCTCTGTCTTATTCCTTTAAGACAGGGTCCCTCACTGAACCTGAGGTTCACTGTTTTGGCTGAGCTGGCTAGCCACTGAGTTCCCAGGATCGACCTTTCTTTGTTTCCTGATGGTGGGGTTCTTCCCATGTGTAGCTAAGCCCAGCATTTTTTTTTACATGGATAATTGGGATTTCAACTCAGGCCACATTGCTTACCCAGCAAGTGCTCTTATCCACTGCTCTATTACCCTTTTTCTTTGCACTAGGAACTTTCTAAGTAACCATTACAGACAACTCCAAGATGTAAAGACCGACAAAATTACCATGATAAATAAAGATATAGAGAAATTAACCTATGATTATGCAATCAATGTTGAGATGAAAATCATTTTTGTTACTGTGGCTTTGAGTAGGAGTCTTGTGTAGAGCTGACTGACTTTGAATTTGCTATGTAGTGGAGAATGGCTTGAACTTCTAATTGCCCTGTTTCTACTTCCCAAGTGCTGAGATTACAAGAGTGTGTCACCCCACCCACTTTAGAGACACACAATATAACTGGGACTTGCAGCTCTACTCATAACTGCTGTGCTGTGGTGTCTACAATTTAATTACAGAGCAATCTTTTTGCATGATTGCACTTCCTAGACAAGTTCAGTCATTTTAACATCAAAGCATTTACTCTTATCCTGGAAACTATGACATGTGTCTTCTCCAGCATATCCTGGTGTTATCTGTATTAGGTCCTAAAGACATTTTTGTCTTATGGTGGGGAAAGCATCTTGTGTACTGAAAAAGATCACAGGAAACTCACACAAACTTACTCACTCTGGGATTAATTTGTAGGGATTAAGATTACCTTGTATGGATTAATCACTCATTGTGATCCATAAGCCAGATATATCAGATTCATTTGAGATTTGATATCCTTTTTTAAATTGGGGATTCTGAGCCAGGCAGCGGTGGCACACGCCTTTAATCCCTGAGCTCAGGAAGCATAGGCAGAGGCAGATGGATCTCTAACTTTGAGGCCTGCCTGGTCTACAGAGTCTTTTCCAGGACAGCCAAGGCTACACAAAGAAATTCTGTCTCAGAAAAAAAATGGAGATTCTGGACCTTCTCCAAGACTTATTAAATATGAATGAATGTCTAAGGTTGAAGCCAAAGATCAACATTTAACTCCATCAAAGCATTTTTACATTTTTGTTTCATTAGGAATTTGTCAAACATTTGAAAGTAGAGAGAATAATACTATAAAGTCCGCATGTCACATGTCAAAACTCAGTCATCAAATCCTATCCAGTGTTTGTTGGTCTATAAGTTGAAGCCAATACCATGCTTTGTAACACCTAGAATAGTTCCACATGTGCCTCTGACACAAAACATATTACTGTGGTCATCCTTAAGAATCATGAATAGCTGGGCGGTGGTGGCACATGCCTTTAATCCCAGCACTTGGGAGGCAGAGCCAGGCAGATCTCTGAGTTCGAGCCTGGTCTACAGAGGGAGATCCAGGACAGGCACAAAACTACACAGAGAAACCCTGTCTCGAACCCCCCCCCCAAAAAAAAAAGAATTATGAATTACATCCAATGTCATTAGATTTCCAGTTCACATGTTCCTTGTTTCCCACATTTGCTAACTAGGTAGTGTACTATATGCTCAATCAGGTCTCTGCTGCAGGTAGAACTGGCTGTTCCCTCGACTGTTACCCAGTTCCTGTGCTGTGGTTTTCTTCTACAGGTCTTCTGAGTTGAATAAAAATTTCTCTGTATATATGTTTCATTGTCATATCCTACAGTCATCCATAAAGGGTTTCCACATGGAAGTAGCCCTTCTGACATCATGCAGTTCTAAAAATGCCTCTAGCAGCTCTACACACCCTTTAGAAAGGGCCACATAGCTCTTGTGACACTTTCTTACACAGTCTCCTGCCTGTGTCACTGCCAGCCTTGAACTACAGCTTGATCTTCCAAGCCCCAAATCACCATCTAATTATTTTTTGACCCATGGACAAAAGGACTGATTATACTGTCCTTATTCTTTAGAAAATATATCTCAGTATATTTTATCATTGTTCTTTTCCATCTTTAAAATATGCCAGTGAGCCTAATGGAATTGGTGAACTCCAGGTCAGGAGAGACTCTGTCTCAAAAGATAAGAGGGAGTATTGGTGAAATTATTAAGGCCGCTCCATGTAGTTAAAAGGAAGAGTTATTTAGTGGGTAACTTACAAATGAAGGGATAGGTAGGTCGCAGGGTCTGGGGAAGGTGTATCACAGTCCAGAGGTGTTCTCTGGAGCTCTGCTCGGTCAACCTCCACCTTCCAGGGTCCCGGAACAGAAAGAGAGCTGGCCCATCCAAATCTCGGGTCTCCAGGGGCCTCCCTTGGGCCCACCTTGTAGGCGTGACAGTTGCCGAAGCTTCAATGGGGGTTGGAACTTCCAGATCAAAGCTGGAATGGCTACCCACCACAAGGGAGAGTAACAGTGAAAGACATACAAT